GGCACAATGATAAAACTGTTTAAAGCAGTGTATGCAAGTCATCCTAAGTTAAAATATCGGTTATACATCTCTCTTATTTATATATATTTTTTCTGAACGGAACATTGAAAGGCGTGTAAAACTGTGCTTTACTGTATTTTCTCTTTTAATATAGTATGCAGTTTTCAAACGCGTCGTAGTCTGGGTTACAAAGTATTCTTCCGAAAAAAACGCAGTTCAAATAAATAAAATCAAATTCTGGAAAATTGATATATTAATAAATATATTTAAAATGCTCAGTTCGAATGAATAAATAGAAAATTTTAAAACAATTATCTGAAGAGACAATGCAACACAAACAATTAAAATAAAAGTATAAAAATTTAAAAATGACCTAAAATAATAGCTATGACGAAAAATATATACAGAAAAACTATTTGAAAAAAAAAATAAACGCTGCACCTTTATTTACGCAGTTCGAATAGGTAAATAGAAATTTTTAAAACAGTTATTCGAAAAAAAAAAAAAAAAAAAAAAAAAAAAAAAAGTGCAACTTAAACGATTAAAATGAAATTCGAAAAGAAACAATTACTTAAAATAATAAGTTATAATTAAAAATAATAATATAAAGAATAATTTGGAAAAAAGGAACGATGGTGACTTTTTTTCCTAAGGAAACTAGGTTGCCATATATTAAGAAGTTCGCCAAGTGAAGTATTCTTGGCGCAAACTGACAAAAAAGTGCCAACATAAATTTGTGAATTTCTCCGTAAATTTCGCTCCAAATTTTACAAAATTTCATATTTAGGCGTAATTTGAGTCGTAGAATCGAAATATGTAAAAAAAATTGGTATGTTATTTCAGAAAAAGTCCGATTTTGTGTCAAAATACCTATGTTAGAATAGTGCTATATATAAATCTAATATATATCCTAAGTCGCGCTTTCGAGACATGAAGAACGCAATTTGAATTTTGTCAATCGGCCCAGTAGATCGGGAGATATAGGACTGTCCCTTTTTTTTTTTTTTTTTTTTTTTTTTGAGCAGTGTACAACACAGGCTTACAGAAGTAAGTTAACTAAAACATTAAAAGTTACATCCACATATAAAATAAACAAAAAGCAGAGAACAGCAGTCTGAACTTAACCGAAAAAAGATAAGTTCACTGTCAAGTCACTCCGAACATTTTCAAATCGTTCTGTAAGCATAATCTAGGGTCATCAAATGTAGGGCATGAGAAAATCAAATGTTCCACATCCTGAGGCATTCTTTTTGAACATTTACATAAATTGTTTGATCTTAGATTAAAACGAAACAGGTAACTTGCAAATCACCGTGACCAGATAAAAACTGATACGCTTTAAAATTTATAGGGAGGAAAGACTCGGAATGCAGTCTATGATAAATAGAAGGAAAGAACTTGTTGGTGACCTCAGCATTACAAGATGAAATATATTCCTCATTCCCCATAGCTAAAAGCTTCTTATAATGAAAGGACTTCCAATAGCTCTTTGGAATGCTAATGTTGATATCAGTGGGTAAATTTAAGGTATCTTTAGCTAAGAAATCAGTTCTTTCATTTCCATAGAAACCATGATGAGCACGTACATAAGCAAAGCGGATATCAATTCCTCTATTTATAAGTGAACTAACAATTACTAGGGTTTCTATAACTAATTTGTCTCAGCTGGTAATACTGTTCAAATGTTGAAGAGAAGGAAGAGAATCAGAACTAATAAAGTGCCTTGAAGATGTTATCCCATTATCCTTGATACATTTGATGGCAAGATAAATGCACAGAAGTTCTGCTTGAAAACTGGGCATTCATTCGTATACGGTGTCTAAAAAAACCTCCGAATGGCCTTCAAAAAGAACAAATGCAAAGCCAACTTTGCTGTACATCTTGCTGACATCTGTAAAGAAAACCATATGAAAACTCTCATTTCAGCAGTCTCTTTATAATCGCAGAAATATATAGGTTCTAAAGTAACGAGATGAGAAAGATAGTGAAGAGGGCGATTCCGTTAATACAGTCTTCCAAAGTATCAGTTGCCAATGACTCAAAATATTATTCTTATATGCAATTTCAAAATCAGTAGGAGGAACTCCTGCAAGAACAAAAGTAGCCTCATAGCTTGAGGTTCTATAACCACTAATATACGAAGAAAATTCTTCGTTGAATCTTTCTCAAATTTCTTTTGTTAACCTTCTTGGCAGGAATATGTCCCCAAGCATGACAGCCGTACCAAATGAAAGGTACAATACACTGCTTATACATTAGTTTCTTAACATCGTAGCTTACTCCAAAAGTATTTTTGGAGATTCGGTGAAAGCCATTAATAATTTTCTCACATATAGCAGAAAGGAGTTCAATGTGCTTTTTCCATGTTAATGTTGGTCAAGAATGACACCAAGATACTTAACATTTTCTACAAATTCTAACGGAGAATTATCGAGCATCAAAAAGAGCAATATTTTATTCATCAAACGTTCTGGGAACAAGCATAACTTTACTTTTTGAAGGATTAAAAGTGAGTTTATGAGAAATCACCCAATTGGAGACAAAATCTAGAACTTCTTGTGCTCTCAAAAGAATGTTATTCAAAATCTTTCCTTGGAAAATTAAAAGTAAGTCCTTTGCAAATGCAGTTTCAAAATAACCGTCGAGATGATTTAAAAGATTATTAATTATTATGTTCTAAAGAGTAGGTCCGGGCACAGAGCCTTGAGGACATCCTTATTCTAGAGAATAAACCATAGCTTCGTTCCCAAGCTGAAGCTCAGCGGTTCTCTCGTTCAAGAAGCTTTTAAGTAGGTTATAGATATTATATGGTCTACCAGCATCTTTTAGAACTTTTAAGTTTGATGGCCACCAAGCATTATCAAAAGCTCCTTTGAAATCCAGGAAAATAAGAACTGTAGTATACTTCATTTTCTTTCCGCGAACAAAGGCGAATAATGGCATCGTCAGCAGACTTCCGAGGAGTAAATCCGAACTCAGAATCACTATAAAAACATTTCTGTTTCAAATACCAATTTACTCTGTTAATGAAGAGAGTTTCAAGACATTTTCCCAAAGTTGGTAAAAGACTAATGCATCTTATATTATCAAGATAAGGAGTTCTCATATCTAACATTTTAGGAATCAAAACAACCCGAGCCCTCTTCCATTGTGCTGGATGCTGGAAAAACTCCTAATTGTAAACAAAGATTGAAAACGTCTGTGCAAAAATGTGCTATCCACCGCATGAAAGTGCTGCGCAATTTCATTGGAAAGAGAGTCTAGCCCAGGTGATTTGTTCTTTTTGAGACTTCTAATAACACTATTAACTTCTGAAGTAGAAAACGGACAGTCCATAAAAGAAATATAAAGTCCATCAGACTCAGTACGCATAGTTTTATGAGAATTTCTCTGATCACGCGCATTACATCTTGGGAAATTCTTTGTCATTATAGCAACAATTGTATCACTCAAACTCGAAGTCACACTGCCATCCGGGAGTTTAATTCCCAAAATCTTAATCCTTTTCGCAAAATTGGTCTTAACCCCATACTTATATATATATTTCTAGCCATTGTGAACATTAATAGTTAAAAGAAAATTTCTCCACGACTCAAGCTTGGCATTAGCTAATTTAGCCGTATAATTCTGCTGCAATTCAAAATACTTAATTTTATATATCTTTAAGATCACTGTTTCTTTCTCTCTGGAATCTACGCCTAGCAGCATTTACATGCTTTCTATAACAATCAATTTCCTTAGACCACAAAGGGACACCAATCATCTTACTTTTCTTCATCGGAATTGAAAATAAAGCACAATAAAAATAACGGTTGAAAGTCTATTTACAATATTTTTTAATGGGGCTCACCAGTGGCCGAGCGGTAAAGTCGCTGAACACTGATAGTTCGGTCTGATGTTCGAATCCCGCGAACGGGCTGGCTGCATGGGTGTTTTCGTGGTTTTCCCATGTGTAACGTGTATACGAGCCAGTTTCCCTTAGAAAATCCTCCACGAAGGCATCCCTCCCCCTTAGGCAGATAGCCCTAGTGTGCTTTGCCATAATTAAATACACCACACACCAATATTTTCTAATGCAATACAATCAGAGCAACTGTTAAGAAAGATATTCAAGATACACAATTCTGTCAGATATTTCTTGGCCAGGCAGATTACCAGATTTCTCCCATATTTGGGGTATGATAAGTAGGCGTGTACGACAATTCGAGGATATAACTGATCCAGCTGGATAGTTTTGAAGAGAGTTTCACAAGAAATATCGCTGGAGAAATTCGCTTACAAGCCTGATAACATCTTGCATAAGGATCAAAAGTGGGTCAATGCTTTCTTGATTGATTCTCTATATGTAGTTGTACCTCCCGAATAAAAATTAATTTCCTCTAAAATTTTAATTGTTTCTTTTTTCATATACATGCAAAGCATCTACCAAGTTTTGTCATTCGGAGATGCGGTTATTTTCATATTATTATTTCTATTTTATCCTGCCTGTCTTTAAGTGTATAAACATTTCGAATTCAGTGCAGCATAATACAGTGTCCCCTATAGTAAGCAAAGGGATAAGATAGCTTCTCATTGTTCGATCTGGTTTCGAAGTTCAGCGAAGGTTACATAAGTATTCTAGAGAATTTTCTCGTGTTTACATGAATACAATCTCCATTAAAAAGCCTTCTTCGAAAGCATTCATCCTCTTAATCAGATGTCTCTCGCTTACTTTGCCGTATATGTAGATTTGGCTATAAGCAGTGGTAAAGTTAAATTTAATAGATTCAATATACATTTAAATAGATTCTGTGCTTAATAGTATTTCTAGAATATGGCAAGAAAATAAATACGTATTTTTTTGTTTTTATTCGCATATAAACAATGAATAAGGTCATAGTGTCATTCAGCAAGGGATATATAAACAACGATTACTGGAATAAGCCACTTGGACACCATTGTATCGCCTTTCTGAGGCGGTGCTGCTATTGGAAAAATACCCAGAGTAGTAAAGGACTTACCTGCATTTGCTCGGATATCGTCATCGATTTTCTGTTCGAATCACCTGAAAAAATATACATATTTTAAATTATGAAATATTTCAAAAATTATTATGTCACAATATTATTATTAATATAACTTTACTTAGATTTAAATTTTAAATTCTCTGGCTGAAGTGCAGGTGTAACTAGGCATCGATCAGCAAATGTAAAAAAAAAATATATAAAGAAAAATAAGGACTTGGACATGTAATTCATATGACATTCTTTTTTCAGGATTTCTTTGTTTGTTAATTAGTAAAGAAGAAGAACTAATCTTAGCGGATAATGGTATTGAAACTTTAATTGATGTAACAAATTTAGAAGATGAAATAATGTCTAGAGAAGAGCATAAAAGTAAAATTATTGTTTGGAAATTACGCGCGAAAAAATATTTAGATACTAATCCACATAGCGCTCATTCTATTTCTTATGGAACTGTCACTGAATCTCAGAACAAAATTAAACTCCCCAAATTGGCCCTGGAAACCTTTTCGGAAACGGATGTATGCAGTTGGCCCGGATTTTGGGCACGATTTCAGACAGCTGTACACGAAAATGAAAGTCTACATGCAGTAGATAAATTTAACTATTAAGTCAATTTTTACTTCTGATGCAGAAACTGCAATACAAGGGTTGACGTTAACAGCGGAGAATTACGAGAAGGCTGTGAAAATATTAAAGGATCGCTTCGGACGCAAAGAACTAATAATAGATACCCACATGAACAATTTATTAACTCTGACTCCGGTTAAAAGGTCTTGCGATGTGACAGCACTTCGAAAATTATATGATCGTTGTGAAGTACAAATTAGAGGATTAGAATCGTGTAATATTTTACCGGATTCGTACAGTACCTTATTGTATCCGATATTAATAAAGGTGATTCCGAATGATTTAGCACTAGAATTTAATAGAAAATTTGAAGATGATAATCAGACAAAAATTACAAATTTGCTAAATTTTTTAAGAAAAGAAATAGAAAGTCGAGAACGTACAGGATTTTTAATTAAGCCAACAGATTCTGAAAAGAAATGCCAGTTTGAAAATAAGCAGCAGTTTCGAGAACGTTTTCGAGACAGCGAAAGAAATCGGGAATATAATAAGGGTAGAATTCCTTCAGCGGCAGCGTTAAACACATCACTATCTAAAAGCTGTTTATTCTGTTCTGAAAATCATACGTCAGAGTCATGTCAAAAGACTGTGCCAAAAAAAAGAAGCGTTAAAGCGAAGGGGAATTTGTTTCATATGACTCAAAAGGTATCATTTAGCGAGGAAATGCAAATCGAAACTAACTTGTGGTATTTTCGATCGACGACATCATACATTGATAAACTCTGACGATGCGTCAGACAAAAGGCCCGTCCAAAGGGCTGTAGTCTCCTCTGTTTCCGATTGTGCAACAGTAAGTAACTCATTTCTTCTGACAGTACGAGCTGAAATTATAAATACAGGCAATTGGCGCCAGCAAAGTGTTCGCGTCTTGTTTGATTTAGGATCGCAGCGAACATTTATTAGGGAGGACATCTGTAAGAAATTAAAACTTCCGGTTATTGGAGAAGAAAAAATAAAAATATTCTCTTTCGGTTGCACGACTTCTGAAGCGAGGAATGTTAAAAAAACCAGGCTCATTTTGCGTAATTCGAAGTATCGATATGAAATCAAAAAAGAAGCTTTAATTATTCCTGTCATTAATGGATCACATACTCATTCCCCTAGAATTGAAATAGTTAATCTTATTAAAAAACAGGGCATACAACTTTCCGATGAATGGGGACAAGGGAATAAACCGCCGAAAATTTCTTTGCTGATAGGAGCGGATTTTTATTGGAAAATAGTTACGGGTAAGGTTTACAGACTGTCTAATTCCTTAGTAGCGGTTGAAACAAAATTGGGTTGGACCATTAGTGGAACAGAAAGAGCTTACGGAATTTCACACACCAACTAATGTGAATACAATGAAGGTTGTGGTTCATGATATAAAGATACACAGAACGAATCACTGTCTAGGTTTGCTGAAGAATCTCTAGGAGCTCGAATTCTATGAGGGATAAATTATGATTCGGATAAGGAACTCGAATTAGAAGATAATTTAGTTTTCGATAATTTCAAAAGATCTGTGAAATTTGAAAACAATCGTTATATTGTTCGCCTTCCCTGGAATCATAATTCAAATGAGCTTGGAGATAATCTGGAGATTGCTTAAAATTAGATTTAAGAGTTTAAGTCGTAGATTTCAGAATAATCAACAGTTCTATGACAGGATATCGCGAAGTAATTGATAAGTACTTAAAAGAAGGAATCGCCGAAGAGGACTAACATAAAAAAAGAAATCGCTGAAGAGAATAACATTGAAATGGACCAAAAAACGTATTTTATGCCACATCAAGCCGTTATAAGAGAAAATAAGGAAACTACAAAACTCCGTGTGGTTTTTGACGCTTCGTCACATGCGGAGAATTATTTGTCATTAAATGACTGTTTACATTCAGGTCCCAAGATGTGTCCAGACATACTGGAATTGCTCCTTAAGTTCCGTCAAAATCGAATTGCGTTTTACAGCTGACATCGAACAAGCATTCTTGCAGATTTCTCTTTGCTGATGAAGACAGAAATGCAGTCAAGTTTCTATGGAACGATGGTGAATTAAATGGAACCAAAACAAAGGCTCTTCGTATGACAAGGGTAATTTTTGGAGCAACATCTAGTCCGTTTCTTCTCAGAGCAACTCTTAATGTACACGCTGACAAATACAAGTCACAGTATCCGAACGTATTTTCCATGCTAACTGAAAATATGTATGTTGACGACTTAATCGCTGGAGCAGATGAAGAATCAGAAGCATTCTGAGGAATCGGAACATATTAAACGCATACTGAAAGAAAGGTGTATTTAACATGCAAGAGTGGAAAACGAATGAAACGAATTTACAAAAGGTATGGAATGAAGAAGATTTTTCACAAGATTCGACTTGTTCTAAAGTATTGGGATACATATGGAATAGGTCAAATGATACATTTTTGATAGAAATTGAAGATTTGGTAAAAGATGCCAAAAGGATAGATAACATACCCACTAAAAGAGAAATCTTGAGAGATTTGTAGGACGTTTCTTTGATCCACTGGGATTTTTAAATCCATACACCATTCGAGCTAGGATTTTATTGCAAGATTTGTGGGAACAAAAGATAGCATGGGACACTGAAATACCAGAAAATCTCAGAAAGAATTGGTAAAGCTGGTGTGATGAAATAACTTATATTTGTAGTTTGAAAATACCAAGACATCAGTTTGCAGGTGCTGGGAAAAGGGATATAAAGGATGGTTTACAGTTACACTGTTTCACAGATGCGAGTCAGAAGGCCTATGGGGTTGTTTTGTATTTTCGTTATTCGAAAAATGGAGTCATTCATACAAGTTTCATTACGTCAAAATCACGAGTAGCACCTTTGAAAAAATTATCACTTCCCAGATTGGAATTGATGGGTGCTTTGATAGGCTCCCGCTTGTCAAAATACATTCAAAAGAAACTTCGGGACATTGATTTAATTGTATATATGTGGACTGATTCTAGTATAAAGTTACACTGGATTAGAAGTGATGTGAAAAGGTGGAGCCATTTGTTCAGAACAGAGTGAAGGAAATACAGAAGAATTCAGATGTCTTGAACTGGAGATATACGGCTGATGAACATAATCCAGCTGATTTGCTAACTAGAGGTGAAAATGTAAAACATCTGAAGCAGAATAGCATATGGTGGGAAGGGCCCACGTGGTTAAGAGAAGAAATGTAACACTGGCCAAAACCGAATTTATGTTACACAAAGAGCATTGAAGATTCCAACAAAGAACTAAGAAAAACATCGAAGGAGGTTTTCTAAAATTCATGCGTTACCTAACCTTCCGAAGATTTATTTAAAAGCCAAAATTACAGCAATTTACATCGAATTTACCGAATTATTGCGTGGTGCTTAATGTTCATCAACAATGTTAAAAATACCTCGAAATTATCAGGATGTTTGTAGGTTACCGAATTGGAAATGGCAGAAACTTATTGGATCAAACTTGTTCAGGAGCGAAATTTCACAAATGAAATACGGGCATTGAAGAACAACGAGAAATTAAGTTCAGTATCAAAACTGAAGTCCCTCAATCCATTTGTAGATGAAACTGGTGTAATTCGTGTTGGTGGACGATTAGAAAATTCAAATTTGGATTATAAACACGCACATCCAATCGTTTTGCCTGATAAAGATCATTTGACTGATCTAATTATTCTTCACAGTCATCAGGTGGTAGGGCACGGAGGAATAGCAGATGCTTTAAATCAGATAAAAGATAAATTTTGGTTGCTGAAGGCTTGTCGAAAAATTAAAAGTGTTCTGTACAATCATGTAGTAATCGGGACTGAGAAGTCGCACGCTGCGTCGTGCCACATTTAAACACTTTTCATTATGTAAATATTCTGTAACCCGTTTGCGTCTTCATTAAATATGTTTGTGTAAAGAAAGTATTTATCATTTATGGATTATTCCCTTCAAGATTTTGCAGATAGAGATGCACAGAGGAGAATTCAACTAGTGGCCCTGGCAGAACCCATTGGAACAAGGTAAGCAGGTTTGTTTTACCTGGATTAATTAGTTAGAAGTAACGATAACGATAGGAAAATAAATAATAATAAGCATTGTTTATTCTGCACCACCGAGTGACCCGATTCTTATATCGGCTGAAATAATCTAAATTATATTAAAGATCATGTTTTTTATACAATTTATAATGCGAGAGAAAAATTAGCTTCTTAAAACATTATTTCTAAATATATATTTTTAAAGCTGGGACTTGAACCAAACTGTCAAACTTTTAAAGTTTAATTTACATGATGGTTATAATAAAAGTTCCACTTTGAAATGGTCATAAAAGGGAAACTACTGGACCAAATGTTATCAAACTTGGGAATCGTGTAAAAGAGATTATGGGAATTAATTTTTCACGGTAAAAAATAGTTAAAAAATTCACCACCACGGGGAA